TCAGCCGGCGCAACCGGAAGTGTCAAATCAAGGATCAAGCCAGGACACTCCAACAAAACCTTCGAAATTGACGGTCGATCTTCGAGACTGTGTTCTGGGCCTCAATCCTCGCGGCACTCCTGCGAAGGGTCTCATTGTCCTCACGAACGCTAAATTTTCCGGTACCATGCATGATGTTGTCTCCTCAGAGGCCATTTTGGACCTCCGTAAAGCGTCAATACTGGTCATTGACGATGTCAAGAACGTGGATATTGCAAACAATCCGCACCAACGAAGCCTTAATTCTCCCCAAAGCGCCCAGATCCAGGCCCTCATTGACAAGGGTTATGTTTCCATTTGCACTGTATCTTCTGCCACAGCTACTGTGAAGATTGTGCGCTTGAGTGAAGACGGGGAGAAGTCTCTTGATGTGGAGCTCAAAGACGACTTGCTCATCCTGGAAACCTGCGCTGATTCTACGCAGACTCTCATCAGTATTTTGAATGGGCTGCAGCCTCCCACCCCCCCAAGTGTGGTTACGAAATATCGAACCGAGGTTCTTCCAATCCAAGACATGCTAGCGTCTTTCACCGGGGACGCCTTTGTGACTGATCAATTGGAGGACGCTACTGCCACCGGCCCTGATGCTTTGGAACAAACACAGGACACAGGGGATATATTGGATGATGAAATTGAATATGTGAGCGTGGGCTCCGAACAGAGTTCTCTGCCTGGGGCCGGTTTGGCAACGGGCTCAAGCGAACTGCTTGACAGTTTCCACTCGCAGTATCATGTGTCTGCAAGTGTCTCTGATCTTGACTTCCGTGACGACCACTTCGCGCAGAAGTCTGCCGTTGGGGGCACAGCGCATAGGTGGGATTCAACGCAGAACACATATGGTCTCTCAGACGACTCGAAGCTCCAAAAGAGTCCATTGAGAGTGAGAGTGCGCGACGCTCATGTCATATGGAATCTGTTTGATGGCTATGACTGGCAAAGAACAAGGGATACGATCTCGAAGGCGGTAAAAGAGGTGGAAAGGAAAGCCACCGAGCGCCGTGCCCGCACCGGCAGTCGAGCTTCCCCTAGCTTCGATGAGGAAGAGGAATCCGTTATCGGAGACTGCCTTTTTAACTCAATTTACATTGGAATCCCCGCCAACAAAGATCCTCGAGAGATTCGCACCGATATCAATCGCAACATCGATGATCTTGTCAGTGAAACAGGAAGCTATGCGACCACTACCACTGTCACTGGAGCGACTGTGCGACAAAGTCAATCGCCTTCGTTACGGGGAAAGAGACTCCGGTTGTCTCGAAGCAAGTACCACAAAATGACTTTTGAGCTTAAAGGAATATGCGCAGATCTAGTCGTATTTCCGCCTGGCCTGGACGAAACACAAAGCTCCTTGGACGTCCGGGTGGACGATGTGGAAATTTTCGACCATGTGCCTACCTCGACATGGAAGAAATTCGCAACCTATATGCATGAAGCCGGCGAAAAGGAGAGTGGAACGAGTATGCTGCATCTCGAGATCTTGACGGTCCGGCCTGTGCCCGAACTTGCTGCTTCCGAGATTGTGCTGAAGGCGACCTTGCTTCCTCTCCGATTGCACGTTGACCAGGACGCTTTGGACTTCATATGCCGGTTCTTTGAGTTCCGGGATGACACTGCACCGACGCCGACCGCTCCAAGTGAAGTCCCCTTCCTGCAGCGAGCTGAAATCAATGCCGTGCCAGTTAAACTGGACTTCAAGCCCAAGCGGGTGGATTATGCTGGTCTTCGATCGGGTCGTACCACCGAGTTCATGAACTTCTTCGTGCTGGACGGAGCCGATATGGTGATGCGGCATGTCATTATTTACGGTGTTTCTGGTTTCGATAAGTTGGGCCAGACACTCAATGACATCTGGATGCCCGATATCAAGAGTAATCAGCTACCAGGGGTTCTGGCTGGTCTGGCCCCCATCAGGTCGCTGGTTAACGTGGGTGGAGGCGTGAAGGACTTGGTTATGGTACCCATGCGCGAATACAAGAAGGACGGCCGTATTGTTCGGAGTATCCAGAAAGGCGCCTTGGCATTTGCTAAGACCACCTCTCATGAACTGATCAAACTGGGAGCCAAGCTTGCGATTGGAACTCAAACGGTGCTGCAAGGTGCCGAGGATCTGTTGTCTAGCCCTACTGCAGCGACCGCGGGCCCAGAAGACGATTTCAGTGACGACGAAGATGCCAAGAAAATCTCGCTCTATGCCGACCAACCACTTGGAGTTGCTCAGGGTCTCCGAGGCGGATTCAGGGGGTTAGAGCGTGACCTGCTGACGGCACGGGATGCCATTGTCGCGGTTCCCGGCGAGGTGCTGGAGAGCGGAAGTGCCAAGGCTGCCGCCAAAGCAGTGTTCAAGCGTGCGCCGACTGTTATTCTCCGTCCTGCGATCGGTGTTACCAAGGCTGTGGGACAGACCTTGCTGGGTGCTGGTAACACCCTCGATCCCAGCAATCGCCGCAAGATGGAAGACGTAAGTTACTTGAATACTGGACATCTTGGACTCTGCTTACTGACCCACCACTTTTACAGAAATACAAACGCCATTGAAACGACTCTCACGCGAAATTCCGACGATCTGATTGATATCTTGGATGCTTAATACCACGATTGCACGACAATCCAATTCCACTATTTGAGCATGCTTTTTTCTTTCTTTTTTTCTTCCTTCTTCAATACTCAGGTCATACCTGGACGCAGCTGCAACTAGTACATATAATAGCAGAACGACCACTAGTGGCAAGATGTTTATGAGCTGTAGGCAGGTGTACCTGGAGATTTAGACGCGGTTGTTAGGGTTTGTCCTCATATTTGGTTTTCTTTTCTTTTTTTTTTTTTTCTTTGTTTTCTCCTTATGACGATCATGATGAATGATACTCCACTTTAGCTTTGTGTCCTCCTTTTTGCTTGTCAAATATTTGCTTTCTTTCCGTTGATCAAAGAAGCATGAGACGGTGTTAGGAGTTTTTGCTCTGTCCTCTCTTCGTTTCTTTGTTGTTTATTATTTCATTGCAATTGGCTACACTTTCTTTTTGGTTTCGGAGGACTGGTAGACAGACTGGTTGTAGAAATGAAGCTATTCAGGGGAGACACCTCGGTTGTTCTTTGCTCTCTCTTCCTCGGATTGACAAGAATGGCTGTACGTACAGTAGCTAACTTCCCTTGACCTTGGAAGGTGGCTTTACGAAGGCTCTGCAATACCCGTCCATCTTCGATATGCCTGTACATGTACTCCGTACTGTACCATACTATAAGGTTAAGTACACAGTACCTAGTGAGTACCATGGAATCGGCCAATCTAGCCAGCCATCCTACGCGCGAGAACAACAGCGAATGAGCGACGGCCACGCCGTCGCCGTGCACAGAGCTTACATTTTACCTTTATCCTAAGGCGCGCGAAACTCCTTCCCGGCCAGTCCCTTGAGCTCCGTGCCTGAAGTTCCTATTCCCAGCTTACAGCGTAGGTTTAAGTCTGGGAGCGTGGAGGGACGCCGGGGGGGGATGTACGGTAAGTAGATGTGACCCGATATGCAAGCAGATAGCCATGTAGGGGAAGCAGTGGGGGAGGAGGGCAGTCCATAACCCCCCGTATGCACTGTACAGTACCATCATGGTGGTACTTCCGTGGATTGTGGGGGGGAAGGGAGAGGGGAAGTTCGTCATGGGAGCTGATAACCTTGTCGCTGTTCATTCCTGAACTATGAGTACCTCTTTAGGCAGATCGCTCGGCTCAGCTGCCTGCCTGTCTGTCCGTCTGTCTGGTTGGTTGGCTGGCTGGCTGGCTGGCTGCCTTATCGGAATGAGAGATGTTTCGGTCACTTCACTTTGGGGGGATTCTTTGAGGCGCGCTGTGGGGATGGGGGTTGAGATACGTGGTAATGGGGAGTGGATGGTGGATGGTGGATGGTGGATGGTGGATGGTGGATGGTTTGTGTTTTAGTTTGGATTGTACGGAGGATGTGTTTGTTCGTGTGTACTGTGGAAGTAGAGTTGTGTGGAAAGCCTTACAGGTAGGTAGGTACCTAGGTAGGTAGGACTCGCTTATCGTTGAACTGAAGAGGAGCGCGGGGGGGTGGAATGTGGCGAAGGGGGAATTGGGGAAAGGCACTGAGCTAACTTGCTATGCGCAGGACGTGCGATTGAAGTCTGTATTAATAGTGTACTGTCTCTGTACAACCATGAAAACCTTGTGCGAGGAGTTCTTCGGATTGAGAGCATCACAAAAAAAAAAAGTCCAACGCCGAAGAAACGGTCAGCACAACCTGAAGAGACAGGTCATGGCCACAGCCACAGCCACATCTGATGTGTGTGATTGGATGTATAGGATGTGTCCGGAGTACCCAGTAGGCGACATGAAACCAGTCACATTCACCCCGATATGATCATTGGCGGTTGGCACAGGATGAGGCCTGGCCCGCGTGGGCCAGTGAGAATGCCCCGGGCTCTTTGTCTCAGTCGACGATTGAAACAAAGACAAAGAGCCCATGGATGAATAGGAATTCGGTGGTGGGCTGATTGTACCCGGGAGGTACCTTTGCTGCCCAAGTGATCCATCCCGGATTGGCAGATGACGCCGCAGCCGAAGTATCTTTAGATCCTGCATCCAATTGGCCCCCATGCACGTCAACCTGCATTGTTATTATTATGAGCATTTTGGTTCCCTTTCCATCAAGTGATCGTCTTTGCACTGCAGCAAAGAAGTAGTAGCACTAGCAGCAACAGCAGCAAGCAAGCAAGCAAGCAAGCAAGCAAACTGCTTCTTCCTTTCCTTTTTTTCCCCCCCTCCTCCTCTATTCTTCCTTCTTCGCATCAACCTCCACTCGCTCTTGCCATTCTTTTCATCTGGGCCCTTGCAACTCTGTCCTTTTCTTCATCTTCCATTGGCTTCGTTGGCCCATTCAGGTGCTGATACGTAGTGCAAGATGCTGATGGGCTGGTAAAGAAGCAGCAGTGACTTGCTGTCTGCCGGCATTACCGATCTAGATCGTTCTCAGGCACTGTTCTCGTGCAACCCTGACACTGCTTCATCTCGAACCGTTATCGGTCCATCTTGAGACATTCGGTCTCGCTTCGATCCGCGGTGCTTGTTGAGACTCCGCTCATTCCGATCGAAAGACAGTAATGGTTGCTGTTGCGCTTGCTGTTGCTGTCTTGTCTTGTTATTGTCTCAATTGCCCTGACTGGTGATGTCAACCGATTGAGAAGATCTGCACTTCCCCAATGCCAGCAGTCAACAGGTCTGAGTTCACATCGTCTTTTCTTCTCATGTCCCGGGGCATTGTGCTTTTGTCCCATTCGCCTTTTATACTTGCCCTCGCTTGATCCCGGCCTAGATCAAGGCACGAGCCCCCGATCTACCATGGCGATGGCTGTCGACGTCGGCTCTCCTTGCCGTGGATCTCCGCACCACCCCGATGCTATACACTATATATCGACATCACCAGCCTCTGACCCATTGCAGTTACTCGCCTCCAACCCTACTATATACCCAGCAGGGTACGCGGGAAATCTGTCGCTACACAATTACCGCAAACTACTGTCGGACAGCGATCCTTTCATCGATGGCCAGGACGGAAAACTGCTCAGACGGAAAAACGCTGCTCTGCATTTGAACCAGACCCAGCTCGAGTCTGTTCCACTAAGCACTCCCTTCTCCATGTCGTCGCCAGCGTCAAGTCCGCCGCCGTTATCGCCGTCCTACTCCCCGAGCGCCCGGAGCGACCAAGACCCGGATATCATGCACGGTTTTGGCCGTAAGCAGACAGCACCCCACTATTACTTAGATGGTAGCGTGCCAGACGGGCTAACAAGTTGTCCAGCGTCGCCAAATGTTACTATGCCTGCGCCATTGAGCGCGCCCTTGAGCGCGACCTTTCCCCGAGAGAATCCGCACAGGCTTCTGGTACGTAAGGTCCTGACACAGTTTGGCATTCCAACTGACGTAGGTATGCGATCAGGATACATTCCGGGACAGACTCGAGAGCTACCCCGAGCCAGGCACAGATCCGGAATGTTTCACCCGCAGGCACACTAGGACCCGCTCCGACTCCATCCTATGGAGCATGAAAAAAACCACAGCGACCATTGTTGACCACGGCACGTCATTCGAGATCATTAATCCGCACGAGTCGCTGAACTTTGCCCGGATTGTGTCCTTCATCGAAGATGTCGATGCCTATTCTCTTCGGGCATCCAGCGGCCATCATCGCGAGTCGTACATCGAGGTGATCAATGAAACGGACGTCGACCCCAGTCCTGAAAGCCCACCTGGGGATGAACACGCAGTCCCATGCTCGGAGGAGGATTCCCGGCAAGTTCACCACGAATTAGTCGGGGACTCGCCGCACCTTCCCATGCCGTCGATATCGGAGCGTCTGGAACGTGAGGACGGCGATGACATGGCCTCGAATTACTCGCGCTCGCCCGGTTGCACGCGTAAGCGACCGGCGCCGCTCAGACCGCGGGCCTGGACTGACGAGAGTGACCTTGGGGAGCCGGGCTCCCCGATCCGGGACGATGGCGCTTTCCGGTCTCACGTACAAGTCCCGCTGCCCAACCCTTCCCCTTACTCCCTAAGCGACAGCCATCCGACCTCCGTACCCGGTCCAGCGGCCTACTACGATCTGAATCTTTGGTACGGACCCCATGGGGTCGACCAGAGCCAGGGTTATCCTCACCCGCTCTACTCCAATCCAACCTCTCCACATCACCTCTGCCCATCTCCATTCATTTCCCATATGGCCCTGCCTCAGCAGCAGCAGGAGATCCGCATCCAAAGCGGGATAACCAAAATCACCGACCGCCGTAAGAAGACCGTCAAACCGGGGAGCAGTGGGCCTCTGAAGCCCTTGAAGCGACTATATAACCTGCTCCAGCGAAAGCGGCAGTGATTTCCTTCCTCTTCTTATTGCATTCGGCCCTCCTCCTAGTTTTTGTGCCTAGCGTTGTTTCCTACTTGGCATTTTATACTCCCCGTCGTGTATGCGCGAGCGCATGCCATTATGGTTTCCTCCAAGCAAGGCTTGTCTGTTTGTGTTCTATATCATTTTGAGCGAACCCTACCTGTCTGTTTAGAATAGGGCCTTTGACAGGACCCAGCATTGTTTTCTCATTGACCAGGGCATAGATCAAATAGATGTCGTGTTTGTCAGCACGGTGTGTTACGTCTTCAGATGGGTCACGTGCGACAGATAAGCTAATACTTTGAAAAGGCAGCAAATACGTACAGTGAAGTATGAAAAATGATGATGTGTGATTAAAAAGATATAGAAGTAGTGCCCTATAGCCGAATTTTGAGAGCCGACCGCCGACAATATCCACATTCAGCGATGAAAGAGAGCACCAAGAGAGAAAACAGAAACAAAAACAAATAGAACGGTCAAGGCATACAAGCAGACAGTCTGGGTATCTCTCTTTCGATATGCACACAATGCACAAGCAATTCCAACCCCTGAAAGAAGATAATGGCAATAACAGAATTTGAATAAGATCGAGAGCATACACCCGGATATAGTACAAGAAAAGTGGCTCAAAAGAGAAGAAATTGAAGAAGTCGAGAGGAAAAGGATTCAAAGCAGGCACCGAAGCGATAGATGATGTGCACCGCGCTCAAGGGCACTGGACATCTATACCCCCAAGCGATAGGATAGACGGATGTTTCTCAGATCAGGAAGGCAGGACAGTGAGACGAGCACGACCTTATTCGACCATCGAAGCCAGCGCCGCACTGACGAGACTCTTTCGTCGCAGCCCCTGCTCGCTCTTCTTCTGCAGATCCCGGGGGGAGCCGAGCTGGTAGCTCTTCTCGATCCGATGGGAGGACTGCAGCGCGCTGACGCTGCTCTTTCTCCGGGACCGCGTGTATTCCGCCAGCGATGCGGAGGACGAGGCCGAGGACGTCGAGGAGATCGATTCCGTGGCCGGGCGGAACCGACTGCCCCGCGACGCCGTCAAGGCGCGTCGGCGCGGGGACGACTGCGGCGGGAGCGAGCTGGGGTGCCAATCGTCTTCACAGGTGGAGTAGCTATGCGAGACGGCGGTGCGCAGGGCCTCGTCCTCGGAGATCAGGGCCAGGCGGATGGCCTCGAGGTCGGTGGGGTTGCAGTACTGCAGGCGCGAGATGTGTTGGCGCTGCGCGCGCATGGTCGTGTAGGTCTGTTCCTGGTCGTCCGCGTTGAGGTCCATTGGGGTCGTCGTGTCGGTCGGGTAGTTGGAGCTGTCGGAGGCGGCGGGGGCGGAGGTCGGGTTCAGGTATGGCGAGGAGGACGAAGGAGGGAACGTCGGCGAGAGGGAGCCGGACGTGTGGGAATCATCGTCGAGATCCGTGTCCGGGGGTGTCAGGACGTAGCCGGGGAAGGGTTTGGGGTTGTTGTTGTTGTTGCTACTACCGAAATGGAGGTCGGAGGGGGAGGTGGGGGAGATGGGCGCATCGGGGAAGCGGTCGTCGCTGGGGAATGCACCCGCAGTGCCGGACGGGTTTTGGAGAGTGTGCTCGTGGAGTTTCTTGGTGAGGGTGCTGATCGAGAAGCGCTTCTCGTATGCGGAGAAAGGGACGGAGGTGGGCGCTTGAGCCTGGCCCCGGGAGTAGGAGGATCGCGAGCGAGATAGGGTCCGGGGGAAGCGCTGCGCGGACGAGCGTGGAGAAGGACAGCGCGAGGATAAGGGGGAGATTAATCCACTGTCATGGTCGAGAGTGAGGCGCTGATATTCATCACTGTCCAAGGCCAAGCGGGGAGGCCGGGTGGAGGAGGGAGAGGAGAAAGAGAAGTCCTCGAACATGATGGCGATAACCGCTGTGCGGGAAACGAGTGGAGGATAATCAAAAGTGGCACCGTTCTAATGCCTTGGAATAGAAGTAATCTTCTGGAACCACCTGGGGAAGATGGAGTCCGAGACTGATGGGTTTTCAAAGTGGTGATGGTGGTGGAGGAGGCTCAAGTTATCGAGACATGGGGGGGGGGTAGATGGATATACAAATGAACAGATAGGGGGGGGGAAAGAAGGCACAACGGGACGGAAGAAGAGATCGCGCGCGCGTTTGTGCCTGGACCCGAGATTATAAAACTAGAGCAAAAGAAAAAAAGTCTGGTCCCACAGTGGCCAATTTTCTTTTTCGATTCTGATTCTGGAAGAGAGGGGCGGATTGCATTTCCTTATTTTCTCGCGTAAAAGAAAAAAGTAATGGCCATTCTAAGAAGGTCGGACGGATCCAGCGCGTAAACGTAAAGGGAGGGCCGAACCTTGGATGGCGTGGGGTGGAAAAACCGACAAGACACACACCGAGTGGGCCAGATAAAAACAGGAATCTTGAAGACGAGAAAGGAGACAGATAGGGGAGAGACTGGAACAGTCGAGGCCCTGGGCCTCTTCAGCTGGAGGCATATCAAACGGCTTTATAGTGAAATTGCACACCCCCTTTTTTGTGATTCTTCATTAATGAATTGAAAAAGTCGGGGAAAAGATGAAAGATGAAACTGCAGAAGGGAAGGAATCTTTCCCATTTGACCGCCTGCTAGATTCGCCCTTTTGCCCCGGATCGGCTTCCGGCGGCGATTTTGGCCTTTCGCCTTTGGGCTTGAAGAACTGTCCTATCTTTCTTTCTTCATCCCTTGCCAATACTATTGTCGATGAACACGGACTCATATTCTTTGCCTCAATATCCCTGTCATCCCATCCCACTGGCGACTCCGACCCGACTAAGTATGAGTATGTATGTTTCTGAGGGTTACCCCCTTGCTCACAGATCTCGATCGGAAGTTCACGAGATTAGGAGCAAATCCGATCAAGAAGCAGCATAATCGCCACTGGGTGTTGTGTACTGTGTACGGAGTAATCTCGAACACGGCAGCAATTCCGCCGGTCCCAGTCAATGGCCTTCGATCAACCACGCCTGTCTACTTCTAGTGTCTTGGACCCTTGTCGCCACCCGCCTTAGCTGGATTGGGTGGAAGAGGCGTCTCGGTTCCCCCTCCCCAAGGCTCCAAGGCTGCAAGCTAAATTACGCTCTCTTCGTTCCGGACTGATCCTAGTCGGAGATGTCCGTCCCTTTGGGTCTAGCGTCTGTCAATCCCTAATTTCATACAAGGGGCGGCCGTTTAGGCTCGACCTTTGGAACTTTTGGACCCCCCGGAGAATCTCTCTTCAGCTTCTCCGGCTGGCCCTTTCTCGGTCCGAGGATGAATGAAGATCTGTGACTCGTGAGAAGTTACGGGCTGGGCTGCCTTAAAGTCTCGAACCTTTTTCGATTCCCCATTCCCCATTCCCCATTCCCCTGACATTTCGATCTGTCGTAAAACGGTTCCGTGACGAGTCATGCATACGGCTGGGCTTGGCTACGCTCCAGGATCCCACGGGATTTTGACATCGGAGTATTGCCGACAAAGAGCCCTCCCTCACTTATCCTTGGTGCATGTTTGGGATCCATCACTCGCTTCTCAAGACTCGACTCCTTCTTGCTGAGTGTCTCCACGCACTGTGGGGGGAGGGGGGCGCCGGCGGAGGTGTCTGGCCGAGGTCGGCTTGTCGGAACGAGTCCTCCGTAGTCCGTACTCGTTAGTGACGGCTCTGATATCTAAAGCGTAAAGAAGCAAGTTTATCGAGTGGGACTTGCTGTTGCCTTGTTTGACGCGTTCCGGGGATGGTTGACTCGCCCTGCTGGATGCTCGAAATAGCAAACCCCATGTCTTTGAGTCCTGTACATGCGCCAAAACAGTGGCCCGGCTTCGGGTAGGAAAGGGAGGGTCGTTCTAACCGCCTTAGGGCCGTTGAGAAAAAGATCAGTAGTCTAGCTGCGCGAACGATGAGAAACAAAGGTCGGGCGTCGGAGCCCGCTGTGGGTCCATATAGCACGCGTACGCGCGAGTCGCAACCGTAGCCCTTTGATGATGACATAGATGGGTACTCGTACTTCATCGTGTAGTCTAGTACTACTGACTGTACGCGGGTCGCTCTCGTAACGTCTGTGCATCAGAACGCACTGGAGTTACTAGGATCCCCAAGGAAACGAATTTGTCACCTTATGTCCTTGTCTGAAGGTGTAGAGCTGAATACCACGGAGTAGGGTTGTTTGGTATTGCATGAAGGATCAGAGCTTAAAGCAATAATAATCGATTTGCCGTCTAATATACCTCTGAAAAAAACTCCAATGTAGACTCTAAACCAAAATGCATTGCAAGAAATCCTAGCCCCCAATTGACGTCCTGTCAAATTGTACCAGACCGGCCAAGGAGAGACCTCAGTGCCGCAGATGATCGATGATTGTAGACACCTTGCCAAGTAAGGAGTAGCTGACAGATGGCTTGATGACATTGTCGTCGTCGGTGCCAGAGCTGTCTGTACCATCCCTCTTCGCCTTGGTCATAGCGTGAATTGTGTTCAAGGCGTCACTGGCAGGGTTGACTCGCGCAGCTGGGTGCTCATTCTGTGTGAACTGAGCATTGACCGATGCAATATCAACTGCGTGATCAGTCTGGAACGCGGCTGTAAGCGAGAGATACCGCGGCGACGACCATATGGCGTGGACCTACCTGGTTGGCGTCACGCTGCAGTGCAACTGGACTGGCTTCCACGAGAGAGATAGACCAGAAAGCATTCAGGAGCAGCAGAAGGCCCAATAGAGAGGCGTTGGAGCGAAGGGATGGCATGATGATGCTTGGTCAAACTCCAAGAAGAGAGGTGGCAAGGTTTGGAGGTCTTGAGTGACAAGGATTCGTTGTCTTGGTAAGGACGAGGGCACGATCTGCGTTCAACTGAATGGATTCGAATTGTTTGGCTTTATGAGTGGCAAAGGAGTCAATCATCTGCCTTCTTATAAGCATCATCGCTGTCCGGAAACTGTAGATGGTTCGATTCGAGTTGTATCGCAGTCCTTCCTGAAGCGTGGATGATTACTCCTTTGAGGCAGGTGCAGCAGAGCAATGCCCATACTCCTAAAATAACACCACGCTCGCTAAAGTTTCTTCAGGGCCGATCTGCCGGATGTGTGTTGACAGCCTTAAAATCGGTAAGGATGCGTATCGCTGAATAATGGTGGATGTGTATGCTCAAGTATGCCCTGGCCGCATGCATGTCACATTCCTACGGAAATACAAATGCCGAGTGTAGAGCCTCACATGAGTCAAACTTTGTGCCGATGGCAGAGATAGAGCATAAATCTGTTCATGGAGGACAAAGAAGCATATTGCGTCATAGAATGGATAGTGCATTCCTGACGAATCTTGCTGAAGAGTTGCTCTCACGCTTTCAGAATGATGGCCTCGCGCTCATCATCGAAAGAGCGTCTTGAAGAATGTAGCTAGTACTGATCTGGTTGGGCATTGTAGCACAAAGAGTATATGACGTCTGTAACTGAGTGGGAGTCACAGCATTGGATCAGCAAGACAGTATTTCGATTTGAATATACTCCAGCCTCCTTATTTTAGCACATCGGCTATAGTCTGCGATCTTGTTAGCACAAGAGCCTGGCTTTGGGCGGTGTCTGAACCCAGCTACACTCACGGCCCAGTTCTTTCTTTGTTGCATCATCGCCTTCTTACGGACTCAATGAGCCAGCTGCGATATCTAAGTCTCAAGCACAGCATAGGGCACGATGTAGACTGTACACATCTCGTTGCGGGTGTGTCTTGTAGTTGGCGGGGAGCAGTTGATAAGCGATTTGGAGTAGAAGAGCTCCGTCGATAGCGTAATGCGGCACGTCGGCAGATGCTCGGCGCGAAAGTCGGTTCCCCCGCAATCGCCTCAATCTCCCTTCCATCACCATCACCACCACCACGACGAACAACCATCTTCGTCTGCTCGCGTTCCCATACATAATCACCATGGCATCCCTCCTCAAGAAACCATTGAAGCTTGCCCTCGTACAGCTGGCCTCGGGTAAGTGAATTTCACACTCAATCTCCATGACCTACGTTCCTAACCCCTCCACAACAACAACCAGGCGCCGATAAGGCCGTGAACCTCGCCCACGCCCGCAGCAAAGTCCTGGAGGCCGCCAAAGCCGGCGCCTCTCTCATCGTCCTTCCGGAATGCTTCAACTCTCCCTACGGCACGCAGTTCTTCCCCAAGTACGCCGAGACCCTCCTTCCCTCGCCGCCCACCAAAGAACAATCCCCGTCCTACCATGCCCTCTCCGCCATCGCCGCCGAGGCCAAAGCCTACCTCGTCGGGGGCAGCATCCCGGAGCTGGAGCCCACCACCAACAAATACTACAACACCTCCCTGGTCTTCTCCCCCTCCGGAGCCCTGATCGGCACCCACCGCAAGACCCACCTCTTCGACATCGACATCCCCGGCAAGATCACCTTCAAGGAGAGCGAGGTCCTCAGCCCCGGCAACCAGCTGACCGTGGTCGACCTCCCGGACTACGGTAAGATCGGGCTCGCCATCTGCTACGACATCCGCTTTCCGGAGGCCGCCATGATCGCGGCCCGGAAGGGCGCCTTCCTGCTCGTGTACCCCGGCGCGTTCAACACGACCACCGGCCCGCTGCACTGGTCGCTGCTGGCCCGGGGCCGTGCCGTCGACAACCAGGTGTACACGGCCCTGTGCAGCCCGGCCAGAGATCTGGAGGCTTCGTACCATGCCTGGGGCCACAGTCTGATCGTGGACCCCAGCGCGAAGGTGCTGGCCGAGACGCAGGAGAAGGAGGATATCATCTATGCGGATCTGGATGACGAGACCATCCAGAGCACGCGAAAGGGCATCCCCATCTACACCCAGCGGCGGTTTGACCTGTATCCGGATGTGAGTGTCGGGAGTCAGTAGAGTAGAAACTACCCCATCTTGAATGTTCTGGCGATAGCGGCTCTTGATTCTTTTACACAAGCAAAATAGACGAGTGATGAATTCTCAAGCTGGGTTTGCTATGTTTCCTTCGTTTGTGGTGAATGTTCAATTAGGGCGTATTCACAAGATGGGCTGCATACAGTAAGTGCCAATGCTGTAGATCCTTCAATGGAGTTGAGCCAGGTGAATCCACCATTGTTCGGTTTATGGCCTGTCATCCTCATGGCCATTATAATATCTATCCCTCTCGCCGCGTCAACCATCTTTAGAACAACCATCTTAGAACTCGGTAAGACAGTCAGTCTAAGCCTAGTTTCCTTGACAGCTTATCGAGGCAGTCCCAGAACAAACTCCCAGAAAACGATGCTCGATTTCTATACATCAAGTCCTCGCCAGTTCTATCTGCATGAATGCACCAACAGCAAGTTACATAACTTATATACAGTACATAGGCCTTCCAAAGCCGAGACCTACTGCTTGAATCCCTGGATTCATTCCAGCGGGGGCTCAGATAGCCCCACTTGCTATCTGATGTCGTCGACGGAACAGTCATTGGAGAAACTATACTGTTTTCTGTATGGGACATTTATTGAAAGGGTACTGGGGAACGGACAGCACTGGCCGGTCTTGCCACGTCGCTGTTCTCGGTCATGTCGGCCCAGTACAGGCGAGTCTCGATTCGATGCATGATCTTGTGTCCTCGAAACACATCTTCTCTGGTCCGCAGGATAAATTTGCCAAGGGTCGAGTCGGCTTCCTAAATCACAGTCGAGATTACCGATCCAGAGCTGGTCTCTTTGCAGGCCTCGAAGGCCATCAATGCCAAATCGAAACAGCTGCGCGATGGCTCACATCATAACTCAGACTGCTTGAAAGAGCACCCCACCCCGTTGTGATTCTACTACCGTATTTTACCTGGGAATCTACAGGATAAGACGAGACCAATTTCACAGCGTCGGTGTGGTCTGGAGCATTCGAAAAAGCGCCGAAATTCACATTCGAGTTTCGTCCGCAATCAAGGAGTCGAGAGAGACAAGACTCCAACGAGAGACAAAAACACTGTCGAATCACACAAAGAAACAGTGGCTGAAGGACATACGTCTCGTTCAACACAAGCGGTTTCAGTTCCTGAAGATCAAGGCCGCGGCACTCCCAGCCGGGGCACACCATCCCCACGAGGAGAGGGGGGGAGGAGAAACCGTTCTGATCCGCAAAGACATTACACATCAGACTGGTCATTGCGGAGGATGCAGCAGTCAACCACAAAGCTTACATCGAGCTTGGTGCTGGATATTATGCTCCGTATCCCATGCCCGACTGGGATTTCAACACACCGATTGAGCGTCAACGACGATGTGCTGGTCTATAAACAGACAGCGAGAATCATGAATATCGACAACTTCAAGAAACTCGTTCCCGTCAATTTCCCCATCATCAGACCCAACCCCCCGGCTCCGGATAGTTGTACATCATCCCCCCCCCGAGTCCGACCCAACAGAGTCACGACCATTCTACATCCTACCGCGACAGCAAGCTCCTTCAACAGCGCGGACAGCTCGACCAGGAAGCGGAAGCCTGCGTCTTGTGTCAGGAGGGCAAGGGGGCATTTTACAGAATACGTGGCGATGTCGAATCGCTCCGGTCGCGCCTCTGCAAATTGTATTGACTCTGGCACCAAGAAGAATTGCTCGTTGGATCCTAAAGACCAAGGGCCAGTAAGTTTTCCCTTCCTACAATGACACTTGGTCGCGGAGCGTACCGTGTCCACGATATTGTGGTCTCAATGGCGGTAGAAGTACCATCCAAGAAACTGAACGCTGCACCATTTCGGGCTTTGAGGAAACAAGTCGCCTCAAAAGAATGCCCCGAGGGCCCCGTTCAGTGCGCCCTACCATAGGCGTACAGCGGCCATCAAGATTCCTGGAATTATACACACAACCTAGCCTACCGTGGCCATGATGCAAGCGTGAAAGTTAACCACGTGCGCTCTACGCGTATCGATATTTATCGCGGGGGTTATCTATTTTGTTCTGGATGCGGATCAATTGACTTGCGCGAGGAGAGGCCAAGAAAGGTTGGAAGATGTGAGACTAACTACGACAACTAGCGAAGCATGTTCCGACATCCATATCTTCTTCTAATAGAGATCTGGGCCCGGAGATTCTCTACGAATGGATCCAGGATCGCCATTTGACCACCTGGAAGGCGCCGTCTTTGACTGTGAAAAAGAAATGCTGTCGACTGGGCTTCGAGGACCTTGCCTTAATGTGCAAGTACGATCGGCCTGGTATCATTCGACACCTTGTCCAGTCTACTTTCTCGGCATTTGATGAAGTCATGCATTGAAGGGTATCCCACCTGCAATCTGGCGGGTTTCGATAGCTGGTGATCAAAGCCAAAGGGGAACAGAGCAAGCAAGCCGAATATAATAACGAGGCCTGGGATGATACCTGAAGTCTCTCTACTGTACCTAATGGTAGCTTATCCCTTCTCCCTTCGTGAACCAGTCAGCTGTTTGCTGTTTTCTCGATGTAGATCGACAAATGGGAATCAGGTCGATAGAAATGGAGACTCGAGATCTGGAGCAAGCCACCCCACCCCCCACCCCCTCAATCCTAGTCCTAAGTTCGTCAAAAGGGGGCATATGTTTAGGTCACGTAGCTTGCAGGGCATGCACCCCCGCAGCTTTTCATGGACGGTCCACAGCGAGCAAATAAGCCGAGTTGGGCAGGTCATCCCGGTGGATGGTATTGTGATCGTCGATAAGTTGACAATATGGTGTTGGACGGTTTGTGGGGTAGTTCGTCGGAGTTGGTGATTTCCCGAGGTAGAGACCTCTAGAGCAGTAGTGAAGGATTGGGGGGTGCTTGTATGTAGCAACTGTGAAGAGGAAGGTAGTTGATCAATCAACCCCCGACGTACATCCATCTTAATTAGCATAAATCCCCGCTCGGTCCGGTCGGGAAAGTCATTCCGCAGTTCATTTTTAGCGCTTGTGCTTGGGTGATCATGCTTGCAGTAGCCCTAAGAAGGTTTGAAAAGAACCTGAGGTCTACTGCTGTACTATACATTCCCCAGGATTACCCAGGTGATAGGTAAAATACAGTACCGGTCGGGTCAAAGAAAGTATAGCTTTATTCAGACGTAAAAACTCATCAACTTCGTCATGATCAAATGCATGCACGCGTGCGTATGTGTATATAGGTACGCCTGCTTGATACCCCCACCCCTCAAACAGAATTGGAATTATCGGCACAGCTCCAAGCCCCAGACTCGGAGGAGTCGATGATGCCCACAATCGAGCTGTAGGTGCCGGCTACCATCAGGAACGTCCCCGACGCGATGACAAACCCGCTCCAGGCGACCATCAGGTACCACCGCGGGGTTCGGTCTTTGCGCCAATTGTCGTAGAGCCACATGCAGCCCATGGGCTGGAAGCAGGTTACCGTCCCCAGAAGAGCACCGACGAGGGAGATCAGCGTGTTGAAGATGGGGATCCCGCTGGCGATGATGTAGGCAACCATGGTGACGGTGAGCGTCGAGCCGAGCCAGGTGATCCAGTGTCTAGCGGTGTTGGCGGTCAGATGCCGGGTGCCGCGCAGACAGCGGACGAAGATGTGCTTGCTGGAGAGCTGTGGTGGGGTTAGTTCGAAGTAATTTATTAGAGGGGGTTGGGTGGTACTGACATGGGCACAGAGAGTTCCGGAAACCAACAAGCCCGGAAGAGCGATACCATAGGAGATCTTCTTAATCAGTACACCTGCGGAGCCCAGAGCTGGTGATGCGACGTAAGACCCGCAGTAATAGTAGACGACGATGCCGATGGTGATGTAGGTGATCGTGACGACACTTTGGCAGAGTAACAGTGACTTCGGGTAATGGCGGGGCTCACTCATCTCGGCCACAATGGAGAAGAAAGCCGGCGTACCTGCGTAGGCGAAGACCAGAGTGTTGATGGCAGAGATTGCGTCGGTGAAGCTGGGGCTGCCGACGATCTTGTAGTCGGATCGCCAGACTCCCTCTTGCGGTGCTGCGGCCGGACGGTCTTGGACTCCCACGGCGATGGTGACGATCAACACTGGCAGATCAGTTAGACGATTTCTGGGGCGTTGGTAGATTGCTGAGCCCACCGGCGGTAAGAATGCATGCTACACCAACCCACGCCAGCCCAGTAATCCGACCTAGCGTCCGGATACTCGAGAGCAAGAACAGGATGATGGCGGCGACGGCGACGAAGACGGCCGTACACGCGCCATGTGTGGAGAGCGCATTGAGCGCGATGGAGGTGCTGAGCATCGCGGAGCCCGAAGTAAATACATAGAGGAGGCAAAAGGCCCAGCCGAACAACTCGCGACCCCATCGACCGAACAAGAGCTGGCCGACATCGTCGACGCCGTAAACGTGGCGGTGCCGTAGCTTGAACACACCCACTATGTAGTCGGACCAGGTGGTGATTCCAGCTATCGTACAGAGGAGGATAACGCCGGGGACTATCCCAACGGTGTCAAAGACCGAGGGAATCGAAAGGACTCCAAGACCCATCTGAGTCTTCATCATGAGAATCGAGGTTCCAAGCCATCCAACCTGGGACAATGTCAGTAGGGCCCCGGATTCGTGGTTTAGGGACTATTCTCACATTCCTATAGTTTGGGCCGTCTTCTGATATCACACCGAAGACTGCATCATGCGCAATGGCGTTTTCATCCTCCCCCTCGCCGATCGCTGGCTCGAGGTCGCTGCCGGGTTCATCTTTGGTCGTGGATGGTGGCTTGGACATGTCGGGTGTTTTGTGTGTCTGTCGAAGAGACCGCTAGATCAACAGCGGGTCTTAATCTGAAGAACGGAACAATAAGTCTGACTCTGACAGCCAGAACTACAACGCGAAGAAGAATATTTTGGGAGACAGAAAGATGAGTCGAAGTGAAATGACTCCGTAGAGCGGAGCTTTGGGGGAAGGGCACATCAAAGAACCTTAAACTAAACCAGTTTCCATCTAGTAACGCTCTTGTCTACGGTTTTACATATAAGACGCAGACTTTAGTATACTTGGGGGTTCCAATTAAAGATAAGCTTCATGTTTTAGTGATGGGGTACAGACCCACCTACACGACGACTTCGGCTTGCCTCGAGACGATATGCAGTAGAATTGTGCATATAGTAGTAACAGTAGTACGACGCAACTTGAGGCTTTCTCTTCCTACCCTGTGAAGCTGGACTGTTGACAAGCCAGCCATTGGTACCCTGATCAAGGCATTATCACACATACTGCAGATCCTAGCTGACTTTTCATAGTGGCATCTCATCTCCACCGTAATAGGCAGGCTTCGACGACGCTTCCCAATCCCGCCAAGATCTACATCACAATCCTTGTATTGGGTTGACGGCACATCTGTTATCAGGCCTGAGATGTTGACAAGCTGGATAAATCGGCATTGGAAGTGCGATACCGTCGCTCTTGCCATGAGATGACAGCCGCGCTGATGGAAGATCATCAAGCCTCATCCAGATAATCTATAGGTGTAAGGGGCTCAGCCGGATGACAACGAAACACCAAAGCTTGGACGACGTATGTACCACAGATGGCCTTGTGCAGGCGCAATTGTAACTACCACAGTAGAGCAGATGAGGTGGTCATGCGACCTCCGATCTCGGATCCATACGAGTCTAAACCTATCCTTGATGGCTATGGTGGCCTTAGGAACCAGTCCGATACACTTCGATGTTCTCCCAAGCACCCCCGCCGGGCGGTACATCACGTGTTGGCCGCTGGGCCAATCATCACCGCGGTAGGCGATAAGCGAGCCCGCACTGGAATTCCCACCAGCGAAAAACCGACCATCTCGAAATCTCCTCCATCCTTGACCGTCGACGACCACTACAGCCCACGACAGCCGACATCTCTGTCCCTATTCAGTGAGTTTTTGTCGCCAGCACCTGCGCCTCGTCCGTATTCCGTCCGTCTGCCTCGGAAACTAATCACATTTCTTCGTTTTCTTCCTCGCAGAAATGTCCAGCACCGTCAACAAGACCGGCAAGAAGACCCGCTCGGCCATCGCCGATGTGGTGTCCCGCGAGTACACCATCAACATGCACAAGAGAGTACGTTGAAACACACAAAGACACACTGCGATCCAGCTTTTCCGACAGAAGAAACTTCGGTTTCTCCATCCCCCCTCTTTTCCCTCAAGCGACATGCGCAACGGATCCCAGCCGCAAATCATTGTCGGAGGTCATGGACGGAGAACGAGAAGACACAACACACGATGGATGAAAACCACGAAGCGGCGCACAAAAACAAAACTCTAAACCTTTGGTATCTGAAAAGAAACGGGGGCAAACGAGAAGAAAGAAGCAGCTCAAGGGTTTTCTATCAACCATCATCGTTGTTGTCCGAAATCATGTGTGGAGGAACAACCTCGGGGTTCCATTGCCAGAAAACGGAGCCATGGATGTGAAAATTCATCGGCTTCGTTTCTGGGTCACCACACGCATCTCCAAAAAGAAGAATTAGTTTTATGAAGTCCACCTCAAGGCCGAATTTGCTCGCAAATACTCTGCAAAGCATTTTCTCTCACATCATTTTTCCCCTTTCCCACAAAAAAAAAAAAAACAAAAAGATGGCATTCGGGCGGAAGACTAATATCTCTTCTTTTTGGGTACGGTTAGATGCACGGTGTTAGCTTCAAGAAGCGTGCTCCCCGCGCTATCAAGGAGATCCGCGCCTTCGCTGAGCGTGCTATGGTGAGTTCTCTCTCTCTTCCTTGTCGCCGTACGAAATCCTCCTTTCGAGGAATCTTGTACGGTCAGCCTTCTCAGACAAGACTAACCCCCCCGGAACACAGGGCACCACCGACGTCCGCGTCGACCCCCAGCTCAACAAGAAGGTCTGGGAGGCCGGCATCAAGGGCGTCCCCTTCCGTCTCCGTGTCCGCATCTCCCGCAAGCGTAACGACGAGGAGGGCGCCAAGGAGAAGCTCTACTCCTACGTCCAGGCCGTCAACGTCAAGGAGGCCAAGGGTCTCCACACCGTCGTTGTTGATGACGAGTAAATTTTTAGACTCGCTTCATCAATAAAAGACAGTGCTTGATTCCCCCCCCCTTAACTAAAAAAAAACGGTCCTCATTGTATGAAACCAAAATTTCTATCTCTAGAATAATGAATGGGACAATATGATGTCGGGTGGTTTGCTGGAACCAATTTTCTTTCTTTTTGTGTGCCTTTTTTCTTGTAGTGTGGATGAGATCGTAGCCCATATAAAGACCAATCAGGTGGATTCTGTTGTTGGAGCTGAAGGTGGTAACACTCGTGGTTCTCATGCAGCTCAGTACGCGAAGAGCTTGCATCTAACCTCTTATGTATCTGGCATCGAAGATACAGACATCCCGAAGCAGGACTAGGTACTACGCTCTTCTTTTTTCCGTCGCTACATGGCCCGCCACTCTTAATGCCATATACACAGAATGAATTACCATAGATAGGTATTCCCATAATATTGCATCCTAAGCACAAAATGCACCAGGCATAACCACAAACCCCCAACCAACGATGAACCACACTGCACTGCGCTGCGTGGATTAAGTGCCAAGCAAAGCTGCATGCAGCACAAGAAGTTCAAGAAATTAAAGTCTTCTTTTCTCTAATAATACAACGACGATCTCAAGGGGTCATGAGAAAAACACGATGGAAAGAAAAAGAAAAAGTGAAGGGCAAAGAAACAGACCCCCTTATGAACAAGAGACAAAATCCCGTTTTCAAGAATGGAACGACACGGCAGGTTTGAAAAATGAGGATTTCTTGCCTTGCAAATCCACAGAGACAATCGCTATGCTAGAATGCGCCTGCTCCCTCCTGGTTGGACAGACAAAGACAAGAAAAAGACACAACAACGAACGCTATTCCCGATGATGCAGTTGCGGTCAACTCGAGAGATGCAGAAGGGGGAAAAAAAGGAACTTTGTAAATACAAATTTGCCTTTGAAGCCATGGGGAAGAGGCAAGAAAATGTTTTCCCTCTCATCGAAGACAAGAAAGCATGGACAAGAAACGGTGAAGAGGAAAAGTAGATATCAAAAAGCAAGACTCAACATCCGTGGAATAGAAAACGGATCACGACAAAACCATAGTAAGCCGGCTGAATGTATGGAAGATCAGATAAACACAGCCAAGAACCCCTGTTGAACTCACATGACTTTTGAAACTAACCCTCTCTTTCGTTCGCAAGTCGCAGTGATTGAAGCAATGTTTTTTGGAGTACGGCGACTGGCATCCATCTTAATTCAGATAGATCAGGTTCTATAGACCAGAGTAGAACCTGTGTTGCTCAAGATTCGCTTGTTACAAGGGGGGAAATGCCTTGCACACTTGGGCAAAGAGAAAGAGAAAGAAAAACAAACCAAAGTACATTCGCTCGCACTTTACGCCGCCGGCCCGATCATGAAAAGTGTGTCCAAGTACGTTTGTGTGGACACAATTCGTTAGTCGTGCTCCAATGCAAAACTAAGATTTAGTCTCCTCCATTGCCTTGCTGAGACGTTCTGCATCGTCCTTCGTCTTAACCCGGAGGGCCCACAAGACTGGCGGTCCTTCAGCTTGGGGGACCATAAATTGGACACTGTTGCCGGATGCTTTGTATGAGATAGCGTCGACAAGGTATGTGTTGAGGACAACATTTCCGCTCGGGTCGGCTCTGACAAGAATGCGACCTCGGGAGGTGGTCCGATGCTTCAAGACGCGGATGAATCCAACACCCTGACTCTCCCAGGCGCCATCGGCTTTGTTGTGCTTCATTGCGCGAGCTCGGTTCTCCAGAACAACATCTTCGTCCTCTTCGCCGGCTCCAGTGCGGAGATCGGCCTGGGGTAGGTTTTCAGCTGCATCTCCATCGCCGGACTCTTCCGCTCCAGTGTCGGAAGCGACACCAGGGGTGGACTGGCGGCTAGTCGTAGCCGACGCAAGAGCTGACGACCCTAGCACGGAGGGCGCCTGGAGGGACGGATTCCCGAAAGAGAAGCCAGTCAAAGGTTGTGTACTACCAGACCCAGCCTTGTTCAAAGATGACGGGGCACCGAAGAGAGAAGAAAATGGTTTGGAGGCTTCAGATGCCGCCGGGGTTGCAGATCCCGAAGCAGAAGGGCTGGCTGCGAACTTGATAGGAGAGTCAGGTTTCCAAGTATTGTCTCCAGACGGCTTCGAAAAGATGGATGGAGTTGCGCCGCCAGGGCTAGAGCCAGCAGAACTAAAAATGCTAGATCCTGTATTTGCGGATCCGAAGAGATTGCTTGTCGCAGGCTTGAGTGCAGACTTCTCGGAGTCAGATATGCCACTTTGTGTGGACGAAACTGGCGTGTTGAGGGATGAGGAGAATTTTGAGGAGCCAAATAGTGTAGAAACAGGGTTCTTCTGTTCTTCATCGGCTTGACGCTTGGGTTCGGATACACGGTCGAATAAGCTTCGGCCACCCGATGCTGCATCCGTACCGCTGGTCGGCTTCGACTTCTGAAGGGCCTTCGCAAAGTCACCGTCCTCGCTGCTGAGTGCAGGAGAATCTGCGGCGTTAGAGGCAAAGTCACTGGTCGAAGTCTTCGCCGCGTCCTCCTGGTCATCCCCTACGTCTGATGCCGCTTCTGTGTTGTTGTCCTCGTCATCGACATTGTCATCGGCTTCAGAGGGAGTAGCTGACAGATGTCCAAAGATGTTGCTGGACTTAGGTGCAGACTTTTCTTGGTTGTCAAAGACGGAAGCACCAGAGTTAGCTGCAACATCACCTTCTCCGGTCTTCTCGGGCTCATTAGCCTCGTCCTCAAAAACAAATCCTTTGCCAGGGACAAATTTAGCATGCTTCTTGCCTCGAGCGGCATGCTCCTCTTGTTTCTTGCGCTGTTGTTCAGCATCTTTGCGCTCCCACTCAGCTTCATCCTCCTCGTCGGAATCGAAGTCCTCTGCTTTGCGCTTAGCCTTCTCCTTCTCGGCATCCTTCTCAGACTGGGCCTTGAATTGGGCGAAAAAGTTACCACCAGCTGGGGCACTGAACTTAGGGGGAGCGGGCATGGAGCTTGTAGAGGTTCCATTTTCCTGGTTGCCCAGAGGCTTGAGGACAAAGGGATTCTTTGGTGCGGTTCCGCTGGACGCACTGGATGTTGTTGCCGCACTTGACATTGAGGATGAGAATAGCGAGGTAGAGGTCGAACCTTGCGTGGTTGAACTCGAAAATGACAGTTGTGGCTTGGCTGGCTCCGTCGCCGGTGTCGAAGAGAACAACGCAGGCTTGGGTGTTGGAGTGGATGGTTTCGAAGGGGTTTCCTTTTGGATTGACCCCTCGTCGGACTCAGTGGTCTTCGATTTGGAAAATGACTGTGCGAAGATGTTGGCAGTGGTCGAATCGCCGTTGACACGTTTAGGAGTGCCATTAACTTCGCCATCGTCAATCGATCTTCTTTTGTTGCTGCTGGGAGACGCATCCTGAGCTGTCCCAAATGTCTTCCCAAGACTGGGTGTCGCAGCTTTGTTGGGAATATCTGCATCGATGGAAGTACCGGATTTCACCTTCTTGGATACAACGCCATTAGGAAGATCGTCTGCGGCCTTGCGCTTAGTAGCAACAGGCATTCCAATGGTATCACGAACCCGCAGATAGAACTGCAGGATTGCATCAAAGTCCTTGCCAGATGGGTCGGCATTGGCCACCTCGCGCTTGAAGCATTCATTCAACGTACGAAGACGATTAACCGTTTCGACGTCAGCCTTGACGGCATTGTCCACAGCTCCTGCAACCTTGGGAGATTCCAGATCCTTGAAGTTGGAGGGCTTGGACAACTGACTACCTGTAGCTGGCGCGGCTGGCTTCTCTCCGTTGACCTTGAACAGACTTTGAGGTGCCGCGGCGGGAGTTGGGGCTGCCTGCTTCGGAGTAAAGATACTAGGATTAGAGGGCGAGGTAGCTGCGGCAGGAGATGAGAAAAGCGCCGGGGGATTGGCTGGCTTCTCGGCTTGACTGTATTTAGGTGTCTCGGCGGGCTTGGTGGAGAACATATTGCCGAAGGGGTTTGCGGGTGCTGGCTTTTGCTCAGGCACCGACTCGTTCGAGGTCGCAGGCTTCGGCGCATTGAACAGATTACCGAAAGGATTTGATACTGCCGCCTTGGGCTTTTCTTGGTCTGAAGATGCTGTCGTCTTCGGCGCGAAAAGGTTTCCGGTTGATGAGGGTTGAGAAGATTCAGTTGAAGAAGCCGGAGCTGGGGAGCTAGCGCCAGCACTCGAAAACAATGAGGGCGCCGTAGTCGTCGAGGAAGTGAATTCAAACGGGTTCTTCGGTTTATCTGCAGGTTTAGGCTCCTGATCCTTCTTCTCTTCGGATGGCTTCTGTGTGCTGGAAGGTGCACCTGAGAAAAGGTTTGAAGATTGGAAAGGGTTTTGGAAGGGAGTTGCCGGACTAGCTGAAGGTGCAGCGCCGAACAGGCCAGAGAACGGAGGGTTCGTAGCAGCAGGCGCTGGTGCTGGCTTCGAAGCTGTAGAAGCGGCCGTGGTTTGAGTGGGAGTGGCGCCAAAAATAGGGGCAGATGCAGGAGTCTGCTCGGTCGGCTTGGCTCCAAACAAAAACTTCGCTGGAGATTCGCTAGAAGAGGCCGATGTGCCAGTGAAAGCGCCGCCAAAAAGTGGCTTGCTGTCGTTCTTGGTGCTGTCGTCCTTGGAGGGAGCCGGTGAGCTAGGCGTTGAACCCACAGTTGAACTGGGAAAAGATGACTTCTGGCTGGTGACTGATTTAGCGTCTGGAGAGGTATGCATTGAGTCCGATCCTCCAAATGGATTCGACTGGCCAAAGATGGAAGGCTTGGCTGCACTGGATTGGCCAAATATGCCATTGGAAGGTGCAGAAGCGGTAGTGCTCTGACCGAAAATATTGGTTGTGGTAGGGGTTGCAGTTCCGTTTTGCGTGGAGGAATCAGCACTGTTGCTTGCGCCGAAAAGACCTCCAGTGTTACTCTGTGTGCCCCCGGCTCCGAAAAGTGAGCCAGAAGGCAGGGGTTGCTGTTGCTGAGCTGCAGACTGATTGCCAGCTGGAGAAGCGCTGAAAATAGAGCCTTGGAACCCTGAGAAACCACCTGACTGCTGAGACGGCTGCTGAGATGGCT